TTCTCATGTCTGTAAAGTTTTCCTATTGAGGTATACAACTCTAGCTGGGTATGCTGGTGCATGCCTATAATCCTGGCACTTTGAAGGCTGAGGCAAGAGGATTACCATGAGTTCAGGGTCAGCCTGGACTGCACAGGCTCAAAAAAACCAAAAAGAGGAGGAAAAAAAAGATCCAGGTGTACATCTGCAACAATATTCAGTGCTGTTCTAACCACTTCATCCCTTGAATTAACAAGGGTACCAAACATTATTCTGGAGATTTTTTTTTCCTCTCAGGGTTGTTTGGAGATTTATTTTTTGGTACCAGGGATTGAACTCTTGATCTTGTGCTTGCCAGGCAGGCACTTATGCCACTGAGTTAAATCCCTGGCTCTGTTTGGAGAGTTAACCATTTTCATCAAGACATGCACTCCAGCGAATCCATTTTAAAAACCGCCGTGTAGTATTCCTTTGTGAAGCTACTGGTTTGCCCAGTCTCCTATTGATGGTGGCCATGTGGGCAGGATGCAGTTTGTGCATAGTCCTGCTGACTGTTACAGTACCATGCTGCTCAAATGTCCTGTTCAAAAAGGGCCTGGTTGGGGCTGGAGATTTAGCTCAGCGGCACAAGTGCCTGCCTTGCAAGCAGGCAGTCATGAGTTCGATCCCCGGTACCGATAAAAAAAAAGTTAAAAAAAAAAAAGGGGGGGGGTGCCTGGTCGCTAGGTATCTACAGCTTCAAGGTGTCAAGTTGTGTTCCACAGCACTCATCCAAACTTCCAGGCCTCGGCAGGCATTGCCTTTGTTTAAACCTGTGCTAAACAGAAGCTTACTGTGGACACTCTATGCTCTGGGCCTGTCAAGCCTTGGGCCTCTCAGGTCAGCAACACAGCCTCTGCCTCAGAGGGAGGACAAGCATCCTGGGCGTGGGACGCTGGCAGGCTCAGTGCATCTTCTAGGTATTGGGCATCTCCACTGTTCCCTGGGCTGCCCATGGGAAGCCTGGGCAGCAGAACCAGGCAGCAGGAAATCACAAAGGAGAGGGGTTGCATCAGATGCCCGGGGATCCCGCCGGCTGTCAGAAGAGTGGAGGGATGGTGTTAATTTTGAATGAGGAGTGAGGGAGATCACCTGGCCCGGCAGATGGCGACCGATGGGGACCAGGGGCTTGCTGCAGACCCAGGAGACGGCAGGGAGCAGGAGCTGTCACCAGAGAAAGGTGGGAGACTGGGGAGACTGTTCAGGTATCGGTGTTCCCTTGGGGGGTCTGTTTCACTCCGGCCTCTAGGACGCAGGTGCTCTGCAGAGCCAGGACCCCCCAGTGCCAACAGGGGCCACTGCTGACAGCTATGTCCCCAGGCCGGTCAGGACACTCACTTTCCTGCTGTCACTCTGCAGGCTGTGCTGCCACTTCAGTCCCCAGGGATGCAATTATGAGTGATCTGAGGTCCCCGGGGCTCACAGGCTGTTGGGGACACAGATTTACAAACCAGTGCTGTGGGCCCAGAACACCAAGGGAGCCTGAGTCCAGGAGGGCTTGGAAGAAGAGACACATTTAGCAAGCAGGCAGGGTGGACAGAGCTTCATGCCCACAGTAAGAGGCCAGGACTGTGGCCTGAGTGTGAGGACGAAGGGGTCCAGTGCTGGTACCTAGCCTGGCCCAGCCATCAGCCAGCTGCATGGGCTCAGGTGCAGCTTTGCCATCCTGTGCCTCAGTTTCTTCATCTTAGAGGACTCCAGAAGCAAGGATAAGACCAAGTATTAATATTATGAAGATTAGCTGGGCTTGGTGGCACAAGCTTATAATCCCAGCTCTTGGAAGGCTGAGACAGGAGAGAATCAAGGCAAGTCTGAGACCAACCTGAATTACATAGCAAGACCCTGTCTCCAAAAAAAAAGCAAGGAAAAAAATCCAAGAAACTGAACATGGTGGTGCATGCCTGTAATCCCATCATTTGGGAGGCTGAGACCAGCCATGGCTACATAGTTCCAAGCCAGCCAGAACTACAGAGTGAGGCCCTGTTTCAAAACAAAATAAAACAAAAAACTAGGAGGACAGGAGAAGAGGCTGGGAAGCTGCTGGCTTAAGGACCCAGGGTGGTGTTGGCTAATAGTGGGGAGCCAGTGACCCAGAAGTGGATGCTCTTGGATGAACTCGGAGCAGGGGATGATGATTGAAGGGAGGGTTGGTCAGCCATTCATGCTGCACTCATCTCTCCAGAGCCTAGCAGAGCCAGACCTTAAGACAGGGTCCCACGATAAGAAGGGGACACTGGAGACATTTCATTAAGGAGCTCCCTTAGAGTTGGATGTGGTGATGCACACATGTCATCCCAGCACTCTGGGAGCCTGAGGCAGGACAATTTCAAGCTTGAGCCTTACATGGGCAATTTAATGAGACCCTATCTCAAAAAAATAAGGAAAAGGGCCTGGTATTTAGCTCAATGGCATAACCACCTGTCTGGCAAGCACAAGATCATGAGTTCGATCCCTGGTACCAATAAAAAAAAAAAAAAAAGGAAAAAGCCTTCTGGTGGCACATGCCTGTAATCCTAGCATTCAGGAGGCCGAGGCAAGAGGATCATTGCAAGTTCAAGGCCAGCCTGAACTGTGTAGTGAGACCCTGTCTCAAAAAGACAGAAAAAAGGAGGAGGGAGGCAGGAATACCTTAGCAGCATAGCACCTGCCTGGCAAACATGAGGTCCTGAGTTCAATTCCCAGAAGCCTTCCCCATCCTCCAAAAATAGGAAAGGCTGGGGATGTAATGAGAATAAAAGACCCTGGACTCATCTTGGTACTGCCAAAAAGAAAAGAAAGCTCAGTGGGGGTCCTGGGCCTGTATCCTCTGCCATCCTGTGTCTTCATGAGGTCACTCCTGCTGTCCAGTTTTCGTAAGGAAGCCATAGACAGTGTGGGCTGGACAGCAGCTCCAGGCCCAGCATGGGGCTTCCAGCTGTCACTCCCAGGGTCTCCAGGAGAGGTGAGGAAGGCAGCCACCGCACCAAGACTGTTTCTACCCTTTGAGCCCATCAGACAGAAGTGGCCCAGGCCTGTGACCACCCCTTCCTGTGGTGCCCCGGGGAGGAAGCCTTCTGTTCCCCAAAGGCGCTGCCCTCCTGCACGGAATCCCCAGTTCCTCCTGGGCTGCAGCCTGCCCACTGCCAGGCCAGGTACACTGGCAGTTGGGCCTGAGCTGTGACCTCCCTGGAGGACAGGCACACGTACCGAAAGAAGCAGGGGTCTGTGGGAGCAGGTGCAAAGGGAGGCCAGGTGCAGAGCCCCACACAGCCAGGTGCAGGCAGACGGGGACAGAGGGTACGTTGGCTCACTTAGAATGAAGGGTTTGGCAGCCAGCAGGCCAAGCTGGTGCCAGGCTGGAGGATTTTGAAACCCCTGTGAATCAGTGGATCTCCAAGTGCAGTGTTGGGATACCTTAGACCGTTTGGGGACCAGTGAGGTCAGAACTGTTCCCATAATAGTGTTTACTGAGCTGCATGGCTGCATGCCCATGTCAGTGTTGGTAGATGGTGCGGAAGCCGTGGGGAGAAGCTGCTACAGCCGTCACACCCATCAAGGCAGGGGCACGACATGGTGCTCCACGACGGTTATGTGGCATCCAGACCCCTGAAGGGGAGGGCTTTTCACTGACCTGTGAGGGAGTGTGCAAGACTCGTGAGGTGCGTTTGTTGAGAATCTTGGAAACGTGTCCACCTTTTAGTGACTGATGGCTTCCCAGGACTTGCAGGTCTCTGGTGAGATCAGTAGCCATCACATGGGTCTTCTGCCGCCGTGTGAGGAAATGTCAGCATTTGGAAGATCCACACAGATCAGTAAGCCATCATTTTTCAGTGACCAATGCTTGATGTTCCAAAATTCAAAATGTAAGCCGGGCGTGGTGGTGCTCACCTGTAATCCCACCACGTAGGAGGGTTGACGAGAGTGTGAGACCAGCAAAACCCAGTTTTTTTAAAGAAGCAAAACAAAAACACTCCTTTTGGCATCGAAGCAAAGAATGCCCACTACCTAGACAGGCTGGCCGGTCAGGTTCTTCCTTCACCCAGCTGCAGCCCTTGTGAGGCCTTTTCTCGGGTGCTTCACACAGTGAGACAGGAGCGGCAGGCAGCAGACACTGCCTGAGAACCCGCTGCCCTCTGAAGGTGGGCGGTAAGGAGCCTCGCGGAACCTGCGTGGTGCTACTTTTCTCTGACTTGTTCCACGAAACAAGGCTTACTTTTTTTTATTTAGTATGTTCTATAGGTTAATGTAAAGATTTTCTTGTTTTTAAACAAATGAATAGAATTGTAAACGTCTCGGTTTTAGTTTTGGATGTGATAAATATTAATAGTTCTCATCTCTGAGAGCCGGAGTGACTTTGAGGAGTGGGCAGGAGCCCAGGGTTGGACTGCTGCCCCGAAGCCCTGAGAGGTCCCCTGGGCCCTCAGCGCAGCACTTCTGAGCCGGCCCGCTGAGCTGAGCTGAGCCTAGCCTCTGGACAGTCAGCCGCTTCCCGGGGCACTGATGCCTGACAATGTGGGAAGGGCTTCCTAAACTGAGAAACACTCCACAAACACTTGTTTTTGTGGTTGCTGTGTTTGGAGCCGGCGTGCTTCCCTGCCGCAGACCCTGGAAACTCTGCCCTGTAGACACGAGGGTGCATTAAGTGACTAGTGCGATGTGTGCCCCGTATGAGGGGCCGTGCAGGCCCAGCCCCTCCTCTCTTCAGTCCTGGCCGCTGGAGCCCAGCTTGGGAAAGGGGCGGGGGATGCCACTATTGGCCTGTCGCTCTGCCTGGGCAAGAGGAGCCCAGAGGCCAGGCTCGTGCCGGGTACCGCCCACCTGCCTGCCGCCTGCCTCTGCGGGCCTGGAGCTGCCCGCTGGGAGAGGAAGTGCAGTGGGTTACAAGTAGGGCTATTTTCATAACGGCTGTCTCAGGGAGGGGGAGGAGGGGGGCAGGGGGAGGGGAGGGGAGGGCCCAGCACCATCGCAGCTGCTCTCCAAACTAGGACTTGCTGGCTTACTCACAGGCACAGGCAGCAGCGGCAGCAGGAGCCAGAGCTGGCGACCCCGGCCCACCTCCTACCAGCCACTCTCCTTCCAGATCAGGTCAAAAGGGCTCCCCACCATCCTGCTTCTACCTAGGGGTGGGGAGGGAGGTCTAGGGACTTTGCTCTGCAGGCTTTGCAACTGGGAGAAGGTTGGCTGAGCTCCTGCTACCACCCTGTCGGGCAGATTCCGAAAGGAACCACTTTCTGGACTGCTCCATTGTCCCTGAATGGTAGCCCGGGCCCACCTGCTCCCCTGGGCACTTGTGTTTATTGTTCTGTTTGTGGCAGGATTCCTTTAGTGGGTAGAGAGGCCTGCGGAGCCAGGCAGCCACGGGCAGGATTTGCCAGGCAGTGAGAACATAGTAGAGAGCAGGGCTCCTCCACCCCCACCAACGCAGCCAGGCCCCTGCTGTGGGGCTGCTAGAGGTGGGGTTGTGTCGTGACTGGGGTGCAAACCACCTCCCTCCCTGCCCCGCTGGCGCTGTCGGGTACAGGTCACTGTGCCCGATGCAACCTTCACCAAGCAGGCGGTGCTGCGGAGTCCTTCCCAGGGCCAGACCCCACAGGCTGTGCTCTGCAAACTCTTCCACAGCTGGGGGAGTCCCTAGGCCCAGCCTGGTATCAGGGGCAAAGGGTACCCCTCAGTGTGAGCAGACACTCAGGTGGCACAGGCTGCCTGGCCGTTTTCCTCCTGCGGTGAGTTGGTAGCCACTCTGGGCACTCCTGCTTCCCATTCTAAGTTCCTGCACCCCTGTGGGCAGACAAACCCCAGGAGGTGGCTCAACTATGGGTCCTAGGGTCTGTTGGGATGGGGGCCCAGGTGTCTGAGGTGCCCCACACCCATTACTACAGCTTCCTTGTGCCAACTTCAGAGCCAGGTGGCATAATCTCCATTTTGCCAATGAGAGCCTTGAGCCTCAGAATGTTAAGTGCTCAGCCCAGGAGGGATGGCAGACATGAGATTCCAAAAGGCTTCACGTTTTCACTTGCAGTTGGCGTCAGGTGCAGTTGGCCTCAGGTCTGGTCCAGAGGTCAGGAGTCCCTTTGAGTCCCTTCTAGCTGGCAGCTGATGAAGGACGCACTGGAGCCTGCTGACCCCTGTGGGCAGGTGGCCTAACTCAGCCACCACCACCCTATGTATCAAGGATGCGCGAGCCCTACACCGCCATGTCCCCTTTCAAGTGGCGTCTGTGGTCTTTCCACCCATTCCGCCCCCTGGTAGCCAGTGGAGGTTGATGGGGTCCCATGAGCCCCTTCCTGCCCTGCTCCCCTGGGCTGTACTGGTATTTTCCTGGTACTTGCTGGGAGGCCCAGACCAGCCCTATTACTCTGCTTGAGTAATAGGGCTGCAGCCCTATTACTCTGCTTGAGTAGAGCCCTGCAGGCCTCCTCTGGTGACTTTTTTCCCCCTTTTGTCTTTCTGAGACAGAGTCTCACTGTGCGTTTCAGGCTGGCCTTGAGCTCACTTTGTAGCCCAGATTGGTCTGGAACTTGCAACAATCCTCCTGCCTCAGCCTCCTGAATACTGTGATTACTGCCCTCCCATGACCATTACATGTGCTTCATAGTCTCTAGAGGTGACAGCACGCAGTGCAGAGTGGTTGCATGGCTATGGCAAGAGAGTCCAGGCCTGGGCAGGGCTTCTGATCAGGCCTTGCTGAGATAGGAAGTGAGGCGTCAGGCCATTGCTGACCAGAGGACAGAGGTTTCTGTGAGATCGGAGGAACAGGAAGCACGGGACACAGAGGAGGGGGCACTGGGCGCCTAGGGGTGCGGATGCCTGGCAGGAGAGCCTGTGGTAAAATGTCAGGCAGTTTAGCACCCTCCTCAAACAGACAGGGAAACTGAGGACCATGGTACATGGCACACAGCACTGGCTCAGCCCAGCCTATTTTGCTTGCACTGGCAGCTGAGCAGCCCCTCCCAAGTGAGGACATGGCAGCCCAGCAGTGGCACTGGCCTCTAAGAGCACCTGTAGCTGCACTGTGTCGTGACTGGGGTGCAAGCCACCACCCTCCCGGCCCCAGCCCCGATGTCTGCAGGTTGAACAGGCAGGGCCTAGGGAGCCCAGCAGCACCTCCCCCACACGGACTGTGGCCTTTTGTTTTCTGGGTGACATAGCATCAGGCCGTGTGTCTGGGTGACTAATCTCCTCCAGGCTGGGCAGCTGTCACAGGGTGGCCTGTGAGGACTGGTGGGGAAAGTGGACACCCTGGGGAGGGCTGGCCGGCCAGTGCTGAGGCCACCTCGCGCAGCAGGCTCCTCTCACAGGATGCAGCAGACCCCGCCCAAAGCAGACAGACCAGAGCTTGGCCGGCTCTTGACACCAGCTGGCCGTGTGACATGCGCATGTCCTTTTTCCCTTTAAGTCTCGGTTTCCTCACCTCTGTGAAACGGGTTCCTGTTGCTGCCCCATGTGAGGACTATGACCCAGGGCAGTGCAGGCATTGAGTAAGGAGCATGGTTCCCTCCAAAAGCCTCTCCACCTTAACCCCCACCAGTATACAAGCGGAAGACCCTGCCCTCTGCCTGTCTCCACTCACCCCCCCCCAGCCTCTGGGCAGATTCCTCAGCAGGGACACAGCATGGGGTGGTTAGGGCTCATGGAGCAAGTGTGGGTAATGGGCTGAGCAAGGTATTGAGCTCACCTGCTGGCCAGGACATCTGGTTTGAGAGGCACCCATGTTACGGGGTTGTAAGATACTGCCCTGAGCTGGGCAGTCGCACTGGTTCCCCAGACCCTGCTGCCTCTCTGCATACTGGTCGCGCTAGTTCAGACTCCTCAACTCACCATTGGCCCGGGCACCCTCTCCGTGGCTGGCTTTGGCCAGGCCCCTGACAGGGAGAAGTCTTTCTCCTGTTGGCCAGGTGGCTCCAGTCCCAGCTGTCCCTACACTCAGGGGCCAGGGCCCAAGAGATCCCCTGGTGGGGACACAGACATGCTGGGCACTTGGGAGGCATCATGCCCTTCTCTGAGTGTCAGGAATGTACAGGCCCAAGGGTCCGGTGAGCGTGGCCTGTGCGAGGGAAGGGCTGGGGAGACACTAGTGAAGGGAGTCCAGCTTCAGAGCCCAGGGACAGCATGCCTGGTCCACAGGTGTCACGTGAATGTTCCCACTCTGCCCCTCAGAGGTGAGACTGAGCCACTGAATACCAGAGAGCTCTCGGGGCTGCAGACAGACACACTTGCAGAATCCAAAGCCTTCTCTGGCCCAAGTCTCTTGCCACATTCCTCTGAATAGAGGCAGGAATGGCTACTCCTTGCAGGGCTGGCTCCCTTGTCTCGGAGGCCTGGCTCCTGGGCTTAGGGGTGCTCACCTTCATCCTGGCTCCAGGCCTGGCTCTGAGCGTGCAGGAGCTGACCAGGGTCTGCTCAGCACTGCGGGCCTCTACAGAGAGCCGCACTCACCCCATGCTTGGGGCAAAACCTGCGCCCTGTAGTCAGCCTCCGCAGACTCCACTCGCAGTGCTCTCCCACCACTCCTGGCAGGGGACAGGAAGCCCTTTGGGTCCAGGACTCTGTGCTGCAGGACCCAGGTGGGGAAGGCCACCCACCCAGGACTCCCCAGGCAGCCTGGGATTCTTCCTCACTGCAGGGAAGAGGGGCAGTCCTAAACGTGGGCTCCCTGTGAACTCCATGACCCCCACACTCACTTCCTGGAGGTCAGGGTATCTTCACCCCCGCACCTTTCTCTGCCCTTGGACACTAATGGGCTGCAGCTTGGCCAGCTTGTGATGCTCCTGGTCTCTGCCCACAGCCCCAGCCCGGCCTGGCATGGAGACCTTCTTTAGGAAACACTTCCAGCGGAAGGCACCAGGCCCTGGAGAGGGACGGCGGTGGCCTACTGCAGGGCTGCCCACCAGCAAGGCCCGGCGACGCTCACCTGCTGGGCAGGCCTCCTCCTTACTGGCAGAGCGGCGCCGCTCCAGTGCCCAACTCCAGGGTTGCCTCCCAGGCTGTGGGCTAGGTGCCCGGGGAGCCAGCTGCCGCCGGCGTTCTAGCACTGCACCCCCTACCTGCAACCCCCGCTTCGTTGTGAATGAGGTGCCTGCCTTGCTGCCTGCTGCCACCGGGGCCCAGGGTCGGGGCGCACCTCTACTGCTGGCTGCACTTGTGGGCATGCAGGAGGAGGGAGTCCAGGAAGAGGAGGTGATGGCCAGGGCATCCAGCTCTACTCAGCCTGGCACCGGGATGCCAGAGCCCGCTGTGCACCGGGGTCCTTGGCCACTGCTGCCTGTACCTCGGTGTCTGCGCAAGGCATCCTCCCACCTGCTACCTGCTGACATGCTGTACGACCATACCCTCTGGGGCCTGCATGGCCACTATCGTCGCCTCAGCCAGCGGTGGCCCTCAGGCCAACAGTCTAGCCCTGGCCGAAGAGCCTCGGGCTCCTCCCTCAGCCCCACCATCCCTGCCAGGGTGCGCCTGCTGTCCCGCAGGCGCCAGGTAGCCCTGCGGCGCAAGGCAGCGGCAGGACCCCAGGCCTGGAGCACCCTCCTCGTGTAGGTATTGCAGCAGCCTGTGGGGGTCTTACGGGCAGGGCCTCCAAGCCCCCGCCTGGCTGGCAGTGGCTCCTTCTGAGCTCCATCCAGGCCGTGCTGGAAGCCAGGACCAAGTCTCTGGCTGGGGACATCGATGCCAGAGATGCCACTCGGCTCCTCTGCCTACCCTGTCGCTGCACTCTCCATCTGGCCTTGGTGGAGTGGCGGCTCCAGGTGGTGGGAAGGAAAAGTCAGCTGTGCTCAGCAGGAACCTCAGCTGTCCCCTTCCCTGTAGGAAAGCCATCACCAAGTCGGGCCTCCAGCACCTGGCACCGCCCCCTCCCACCCTTGGGGCCCCGTGTGGCGAATCTGAGCGTCAGATACGGAGCACTGTGGACTGGAGTGTGAGTAACTGGGTACTTAGCCAGGCACCAGCCATGGGACAGAGGTCTTGTGAACACCAGGGTCGAAAGAGCTCCTTGGCGTGTGGGGTCCGGGCTGACTTCCTGGGCCAGCTGTCTTTGAGCCAGGCCTAAGGAGTAGACAGTCTTGGAGACAGGCTAGAGGACAGTGGGTTGTGGCTGGAGCCTTGAGAGAGGAAGAGCTGGGAAGGCACTATGGGGGCTGAGCAGGTGGCTAGTGTACACTGACCATGCTCATCCTACGGTCTAGGAGTCAGCCACATATGGGGAGCACATCTGGTTTGAGACCAACGTGTCTGGGGACTTCTGCTATGTTGGGGAGCAGTACTGCGTGGCCAAGATGCTGGTGAGTGAGCTCTGTGGGGCTGCTGCCCCCTGGTGGTGGAGCTGGATCTAGGCACAGGGCTGACAGCTGCACCCCATCCCAAGGTGGGGAGAGCTCACCTGAGTCCTCACCTGTGCGCTACCCCTGGGCCAAGCAAATGGGAGCTGGTCCTGATGCCAGACACTGGGACCGCTGTGTCCAGAATGAGCAGGGGAGATGTGCTGGGACCCTGCTCGCCCAAGGTGGTGGCCACAATGGTGCCGGCTGGTGCCTCAGGGGCCTCTGTGTCCTGCAGCAGAAATCGGTGCCCAGGAAAAAGTGTGCAGCCTGCAAGATCGTGGTCCACACCCCCTGCATTGAGCAGCTGGAGAAGGTGAGTGTCACACATGCTCACATGTCTACACACACATCCCACCAGTAAGACTGCCTGCCCGGGAGCAAGGCGCCATGTGTGGTAGGGAAATAAGGACCCTGAGCCAGATGCCTGCCTTGCGCCTGGCCCTGTTTGCCTGTTTGGTAGCTGCTGTACCTGCTGCCTGGGGCACACCTGGCAGAGTGGGGCTCCCTGAGTGGTGGCTGAGGGCACAAGCTAACAAGTGGTGATCTAAGACCATTTCTTTATCACACCCATGCTAACATTTGGAAGAGGCCATTGAGTTTGCTGCTTGACTGTGACAAGGCCTGTCCTGTGGCACCCACGTCTGCCTCTGTCCCCTATGTGCTGCCTCTGGAAAAACCCCCATTCCCAAGGACCGTTGTGTATGATGCAGCTGGGGGAGGACCAGGGTGTTGTGCTTCTAAGGGGAAGGACAGAAGGACCCTGGGGCCAGGGACTCGGTAGTACAGGGGGCAGGGGGCATGAACAAGGGCAGCCTGGCCTGCAGGAGCTCTACTGGGGACGGCTGCTTTGCTGGCCCTGAACCATAGACGGAGGCTCCTGTGATTTCTGGGGCCAAGCAGGCACGGTCAGGAGAAGAGAAGCTGAAATGCAGCCTAGTCGTGGACGGTGGAAATCGAACCCACTCGACACCCTAGCGTACAGCCTGCAAGCAGGGCTCAGATCCCTGCATTTCCTCAGCTGGGGCGCTAGGAGTGAGGAAATAGGATCAGTGACCATGGTCCTATCTGAGTGGGACAAGGCCACGGAGCACCTGGGATCCTGAGACCAGGAAGGAAAGATCCTTCTGGCTAGCGAAAAGGAGGACTTCTGGGAGGAGGCAGCCATATCCTGAGGGCTCCCAGGCTGATTTGGGATGCTCTGCCCTCGAGGGGGACTGGATGACCCTGTTCAAAGCAGCTTCTGACATTGGTCACTGCACTTGTCACAGATAAACTTCCGCTGTAAGCCATCTTTTCGGGAATCCGGCTCGAGGAATATCCGAGAAGTAAGTGCACAAGATGGTTAGGGACCAGGACACCCTGAGTTCTTGATGGGTTCTCTCTGTAGAGCCTCCAGAGTACCATCAGGGGCTCAGGTGGTAGGCCTGGCAAGCCCTGCCTGCCACAGGTGGGGCACCTGCACCTCGGTGTGCCCCTCCTATGAGTCTCAGCCTCAGAGCTGGGCCTCTCCAGCGCCATGCCCTTCACCCCAGTGACATTTCTCTCTGCCCCAGCCGACCTTCGTACGCCACCATTGGGTGCACAGGCGGCGGCAGGATGGCAAGTGCCGGCACTGCGGGAAGGTGAGGGCCCCCACTGCCCCAGCTGGCCTCCCACTGAGCCCTGCCCCGAGTGTAGCTCCTCAGGCTGCCTCTCAGGCCCTAAGTACTCTGGCTGCACCTTCAGTCTCTGTGTGAGTGGAAGGGCAGGGAGGAGGGTTTGCTCCTAGAGCACTGTCTGGCTGCATCGGCCTCGTCCGAGCCCTTCATGAAGACTCATTCACTGGCTTGGCGATAATGACTGAGCTGCGTGGTGACTGGCCCTGCTGAGGCATCGAGGCACAGGGACAGGCCCAGCATCTTCCCAGCATATCCCACAGTCACTTGCTTGGTTGCTTCCTGTCTATCGTGTGCAGGTGGCGCCTGCGCCTCCTTTTGTGATCAGAGCAGCCCTACTGACCTGTGCTGAGGGCTGGGAGGTGGACAGAGAGTGGGCAGGGCCTGGCCAGATCTGGCTGCAGGAAACAGGGAACTCGGGTCAGGCAGCAGTTGGCCGTTGGTGTGCCAGGGAAGATTTACTTTATATTTCCGAGCTCTTGTAACGTGGGTTTGGTCTCCTGGCTTGAGAGGCTGGCAACCCAGGAGGGGCTGGGTCTTGGCCATGATCCTGTGTAAAGCCAGCCTGTCCACCTGCAGGGCTTCCAGCAAAAGTTCGCATTCCACAGCAAGGAGATTGTGGCCATCAGCTGCTCCTGGTGCAAGCAGGCGGTGAGTGGTGTCCTTGCCCTTATCTGCACCGTGCTAGGGCAGGTCCGGGTCCTGGCCAGCCCGGCTCAGCCTTGCCTGCCCCCCTTCAGTACCACAGCAAGGTGTCATGCTTCATGCTGCAGCAGATCGAGGAGCCCTGCTCCCTGGGGGTCCATGCAGCCGTGGTCATCCCGCCCACCTGGATCCTCCGCGCCCGGAGGCCCCAGGTGAGTCCCTTGCCTCTGCCGCCCCTGCCACCCCTGTCTTGGGGCTACTAGCCTGCCCCCCTGTCATGAACACCCTTGCTTTTCTCACAGAACACCCTCAAGGCCAGCAAAAAGAAGAAGAGAGCATCCTTCAAGAGGAAATCCAGCAAGAAGGGGCCTGAGGTTGGAGCGCAGAGCGTGTCCCACAGCTGGGTCCCCCTGGCCTCATGGCACGAGGGTGGCAGAGCGAGGGGAAGGAGTGTTACCCAGAGGCCCGGGGAGGGGACCGCAAGCACAGGGCAGAGCCTTACAAGCTCTGTGTCCCCAAGGAGAGCCGCTGGAGACCCTTCATCATCAGGCCCACCCCATCCCCACTCATGAAGCCCCTGCTGGTGTTTGTGAACCCCAAGAGTGGAGGCAACCAGGTAAGCACAGCCTTCACTTCCCAGGGCTCCAGTTTGGGGTCTCTCACTCCGCACCCCCCGCCTCCCCCAGCAGAATTCCTGGGTCCACCTTGGGCTTCTGTCCCCATCTGTTTCCCCGGGATCCTGAGAGGGCCTGTCCTGCTCACTCGTCCTGGATGGGCCTCTGTTCCACATCCTACCCACTGCCTCCTGCCTCCCCTCATTCTCTACCTCAACAGCCTATCCTCCTGTCCCCCACAGGGTGCCAAGATCATCCAGTCCTTCCTCTGGTACCTCAACCCCCGGCAAGTCTTTGACTTGAGCCAGGGCGGGCCCAAGGAGGCGTAAGGACGTGGCGGGTTCTTTGGGGGATGGCGAGGGACACACCTGGCTCTCATGGGGCAACACACACCCTCTGACCCCATTCCTGTCTTTTCCTGGCCCAGACTGGAAATGTACCGCAAAGTGCACAACCTGCGGATCCTGGCGTGTGGGGGTGACGGCACGGTGGGTCCTCAGAGCAGGGCAGCCCCCACCCAGTTCCTTCTCTCGGGAGCTGACCAGCTGCCCACTCTGCTCCCCTGCAGGTCGGCTGGATTCTTTCCACACTGGACCAGCTGCGCCTGAAACCACCGCCCCCTGTGGCCATCCTGCCTCTAGGAACGGGCAACGACTTGGCTCGAACCCTTAACTGGGGTGGGGTGAGTACCCTCAAGAGGGGACTTCATGCCAGGGTCTCTCAGGCTCAGGAGGGCTCACCCTGGCTTCCTCCTGCCAGGGCTACACTGATGAGCCCGTGTCCAAGATCCTGTCCCACGTGGAAGAGGGCAATGTGGTGCAGCTAGATCGCTGGGACCTCCGGGCTGAGCCCAACCCTGAGGCGGGGCCTGAGGAGCGAGATGAGGGTGCCACTGACAGGGTGGGTCAGCGGTTTGTACTCCCTCCTGTGGGTTCTGGGAACTGGGGTGGGTCCCCTGGCCTCTCCAGACATCCCCTGGGAGCAGTGCTGCTGCCTGCCAAAGTAGTTTTTATTCAGCCACTGGCAAATATTTACCGAGGACCCACTCTGTACCAGGCCTTGCTGAGAGCAGTGGAGAACCCAGTGCCCACTCAGAGCTCGTGCAGTGCCTGGCATGGGGACACAGTGCAGTGGGCCCCCAACAGGGGTGCAGGCATGCCCCCTGGGGCCGGGGAGGCAGGGACGGCATTGGCAGAGGGTCCCCAGGTGGAGGCCTCTGGAAACACAGAAGAGGGAGTGTGGCAGCCAGCCCTGGCCTTGTCTTAGCCAGGGGACATGGGCGAGGCCATCCTCATCTCTGTCTCCACCCCACTCCCTGCCCCTCCTCCAGCTGCCCCTGGATGTCTTCAATAACTACTTCAGCCTGGGCTTCGACGCCCACGTCACCCTGGAGTTTCATGAGTCTCGAGGTTGGCAGCCAGGGCAGGGAGGGTCCAGGGAGGGTCCCAGCTTCCTACTGCACCCCAGCCTGGGAAGCGCCCTCTTGACAGTGCCCGCCTCTATCTTCATGCAGAGGCCAACCCTGAGAAATTCAACAGCCGCTTCCGGAACAAGATGTTCTATGCCGGGGTGAGTTGGGGTTTGCCACCACCTCAACCGCCATGGCCCATGTCTGCCAGGCCACCAGACCTTGCTGCAGCAACAAGGGAAAGTCCCCGTCACAAGGTGGTGATACCTTGTCTCCCACAGACAGCCTTCTCTGACTTCCTGATGGGCAGTTCCAAGGACCTGGCCAAGCACATCCGAGTTGTGGTGAGTAGGGCAGCTGGCCAAGCAGTGGGCCTGGCAGGGAGGGAGACCACCTTTATGGGTGTACCCAGTACTCCCCCGTTCTCGCCTCCAGTGTGACGGGATGGACCTGACCCCCAAGATTCAGGACCTCAAACCCCAGTGCATCGTTTTCCTGAACATCCCCAGGTGAGGAGTGGGCTCCAGGTACACCCAGCTATCCCTCCTGCCCATCCTGAGCCACTCCAGAGCCTACCCCTTGCCCTCCATCAGGTACTGTGCAGGCACCATGCCTTGGGGCCACCCTGGGGAACACCACGACTTTGAGCCTCAGCGGCATGACGATGGCTACCTCGAGGTCATTGGCTTCACCATGACATCCCTGGTGAGTGGCCCTCTGCCCAGTGCCCACGAGCACAGCCAGCCCTACTTCTGTCAGTGGCCAGGGTACAGTTGCCCTCACCTGACTGGAGTGGCTTAGCCCGTGTTCTCTGAATGTCAGGCCTAGCGGCACCTTCACCCCACTGTTCTGCACTCTGGGGGTCTGTCTGTCTGGAACCCCAGTGCCACCTGACCCAAGCCCTCTGTGCCTGCAGGCAGCGCTGCAGGTGGGCGGGCACGGCGAGCGGCTGACACAGTGCCGTGAGGTGCTGCTCACCACGGCCAAGGCCATCCCAGTGCAGGTGGACGGCGAGCCCTGCAAGCTGGCGGCCTCACGCATCCGCATTGCGCTGCGCAATCAGGCCACCATGGTGCAGAAGGCCAAGCGGCGCAGTGCTGCACCCCTGCACAGCGAGTATGACCCCGCCTCAGCCGCCCCTTTGTGAGCCCCAGCTGCCTAGCTGTGAAAGGGACTGCCTGCTGGGACTGGCTAGCATGTTCCCTTAGTGTGCATGGCCCTGGGTTCCATCCCTGGCTCACAGGGGTTGGGGAATAGCATTCCAGTGCCCCAGGGCTCGGGGAGGACGGCAGGCATCTGTCTGTCTGCCTTGGTGAGTTTGGCTCCCATGCCTGATCTGCCCCACCCCACAGCCAGCAGCCTGTCCCAGAGCAGCTTCGGATCCAGGTGAGCAGGGTCAGCATGCACGACTATGAGGCCCTGCACTATGACAAGGAGCAGCTCAAGGAGGCCTGTGAGTGGCAGCGGGGCTGGGGCCAGGCGGGCAGGGCACTGCTGGGCCCTGCAGGTCAGCAGTGGAGACAGCCACATGCTGACGGGCCACTCTCCCCTAGCCGTGCCCCTGGGCACTGTGGTAGTCCCCGGAGACAGCGACCTAGAGCTCTGCCGTGCCCACATTGAGAAGCTGCAGCAGGTATGACTCGGGGCAGGAGAATGTGGGGCACCCCCTGCTCCCAGGTCTGTCCTACCCTGACCTTCGCATCTCTCCAGGAGTCCGATGGTGCTGGAGCCAAGTCCCCAACGTGCCAGAAACTGTCACCCAAGTGGTGTTTCCTGGATGGTAAGTGCACCCAGTGTCAGCCCCAAGGACTCAGGCTGGCCCACCTCCCCTGGGTCAGGGCCAGAACTCCGCCCTCATCCCTGGCTGACCATCTCTCTGCAGCCACCACAGCCAGCCGCTTCTACAGGATCGACCGCGCGCAGGTGAGCTCCACAGGCATGGCGCCCCACATGGTGCTCTGCACCCCTCCCAGTGAGCCTCCCTGTGAGGCTGCTCGCCAGCCTGGAGAGCCTGGAAGCACAGCACCATGAGAGACAGGAGAAAATGGCACAGAGCCAGGGCACCTGGGCAGAGGCTGGACAGCGAAACACGGCCTTGGGCAGTGGGAAGCAGGGCTGGGGCTGCAAGGCTCGCCTGGCCTCCTGCATCCTGCAGCCCTGCTCAGGCAGAAGCTTCTCCAGCTCCTCCACCCGTGCTGTCCCAGGGCCCCACTGGGGACCCCAAAGACTGCTCATGCCTCAGCCCTGACTCCCTACCGACAGGAGCACCTCAACTACGTGACCGAGATTGCACAGGACGAGATTTATATCCTGGATCCCGAGCTGCTGGGGGCATCGGCCAGGCCCGACCTCCCCACCCCCACGTCCCCTCTCCCTTCCTCCCCCTGCTCCCCTACGCCCCGGTGAGTCCCAGGACCCCAGCTCCCCTGTCCCCTGGCTGTATACCTGTCTGTAGCTGGTGGCTTCCAGATTCCTGCCTTTAGCCCCAGTCTGTCCATGAGCAGGCAAGCCACAAGGCCCCGGCGTCCCACAACCAGTGCCTGAAAGGGTGACCCGGCCACAGTGTCCCCACACACACACTAACTCCTGTGCTCCCCCGACTCCTGTGGTCTCTGAGCACCCCTCCTGCCACCGGTGGGACTGGCCACCAGCCCCACTGCACTCCTTGGAGGCCTCTGTGGCTGAGCTGGACACTCCACTTTGCTGCCTCAGGCTGTCCCTTCCCTTCGATTTGAACCTCAGCTTGGGTCCTCCTCAGGAGCTCTCTCCCAGGTCCCTTCTCCCCACTTGCACCTCCGGTCCCTTATTTACCCCCTGACCTGTCTGCACCCCCATATCCCCACTGGCAAGTGAGGCCCTCAAGGTTCAGCCTCCGCCTCTGCTCATTCCCCCACCAGCCGGGGCAAGGGAGGGCACTGGCCAGGCCTGGCTGAGCCGGGTCACATCTATCCTGCTCTGTTGCAGGTCACTGCAAGGGGACACTGTACCCCCTCCAGGTGAGCCCTTCCTGCCTTCCCTGTCATAGACGTGAGGCTCAGTGGGGGGACAGGGCCCATGTGCCATGACCCCATGGCTCATGTAATTGCACACACCACACAATCTCCATCACGTGCGTGTGCACACCTCCAGCCCTGGCTCGCCTTCTTGTGACGGGCAGGTCTTTCATGCAGGTGAGGCGCTGATTGAGGCCGCCCAGAGGAATGACTTCTGTAAGGTACAGCCCCTCCCCGGGAGGTGGGGTCTGCGCCAGGAGCCAGCCTGCCTGGCACTGTCATGTGTCCCTGTCTGGCCCCCTGCGGTTCTCCATGGCAGTGAGTCCATCCCACCTGGCCCCAGCTGTCCGAGGCACAGATGTCTCATGGGCCAGCTTTTCTGATGCTGAGAAAGGCAGGTTTCGTAGGAACCCCCAAAGCACCCAGACAGTGGTGTGTCAGCTTTTGTGGGTGTAAGTGCTTGTAGACCCATGCAAACTGGGTGCCCTAGGAGACCCAGGCCTACTGTCTTCTGCCCTCAGCTACAGGAGCTACACCGAGCTGGGGGGGACCTTGTGCACCGGGACTCACGGGGTCGCACGCTCCTGCACCATGCAGTCAGCGCGGGCAGCAAGGAGGTGGTCCGCTACCTGCTGGACCATGGTGAGCCATTGCACCTGGGGCCAGTTTTGGGAGTTGGGGACTGCCAGGCCTCTCTGACCTCAAGATTCCCTCCACAGCACCCCCAGAGATCCTCGATGCTGTGGAGGAGAAGTGAGTATCTGGGAGCCAGCCCTGGTTACTCCAAAATCACCCCTCTGCCTCCCCTTCCTCCTGTTTGGTGGGTCGGAGCCCATGAACTCTCCTGGCCAGGCTGCCTCCTTGCGGCTGCCCTGTCCCCTAGTTCCCAGCTTCCAGCCCTTGCTGATGGCCACCAGAGGCCTGCATAGGGTCCACAGCCTACCCCTCTTCCCCAGCGGGGAGACCTGCCTGCACCAAGCAGCAGCCCTGGGCCAGCGCACCATCTGCCACTACATTGTGGAAGCCGGCGCCTCCCTCATGAAGACAGACCAGCAGGTGAGCCCTCCCTCCCACATGTGGGGGGCGTGGGCTGCCTTGGCCACACAGTACAGACCCTGAGACACACCAGCAGGTAGGAGCTGGTTCCAGGGCTTCAGGTGCCCTCATAGCTTCCTGATTCTCCTTTCCCAGGGCGACACCCCTCGGCAACGGGCAGAGAAGGCGCAGGACACTGAGCTTGCCGCATACCTGGAGAACAGGCAGCACTACCAGATGATCCAGCGTGAGGACCAGGAGACCGCTGTGTAGACACAGCCCAGAGGCCCCCCGGGCAGCAGAGGGACTGCCAAAGATGAACTGCCCCTGGTGTGCATCTCACTGCCACATTCCAGTCGCAGCAGCCAGGAGGGGGACCCTCCTCCAGGGAAGGAGCTGCCCTGATGATCTAGGGACTCTGAGGAGCTGGGGCGGTCACCTGCCTCCCCCCACCCCCACCCCGAAGCCCCCATCCTGTCCACCAGGCTCATAGGGAGCAGGAACCGGGCAGCTGGGCCACTGCAGGACAGCCTCGCCCTCAGCCCCCGGCAGGTGCTCTCTCTGAGGATTGGGGGCAGGGCACAGCCCAGAGCTTCCGGAAGAGGTTCTTGCCACCAGGTCCCCAGGGCCTGCAGCGCTCCCGGGTTCGCGGACCCTGTCCCTGCTTACCACCCTCCCACCTCCACCCGGAATGGCCTGCTGCCTTGGCCTGCCCTGGTCTGCTTGGCACCCGACCTTGGTGACCCTCCCGTGTTCCCAGCGTTTCACGTGGACTGTGCAGCCTGGGACCGGGGTGGGAGGGCAGGGTTCTCGGTGACATGTTTACAGCTGGGTGTGACTCAGTAAAGTGGATATTTTTCGCTTTTTTTCTCTTTTGGCTTTTATTCCAAACCCCTCAAGCTGAGGGGTCCTCTGAGTTACCCTGGGGTTGAGGAGTGGACGTAGCGAGGCCGGGCAGTGTGTGTGTGTGTGGGGGGTGGCCTGCCCAGCTCCTGACCTCTGGGCTCACGGGGCCGAGGGCGGAGCCGGGCTCCCGGGCTTCCCGCTCCAGGCTGGGACAACAATGAGTGGAAGGGGTGGGGCGGGGGCCGCGCGGCTTCCTCCAGGGCAGCCCCTCCCCGGGGTTGGGGCCGGCTTGCACCACCGCAGGGTGGGGGCGCGGCAGCCGGGCAGCGGGGTCTGGAATTCCTCAGCCAACGCGGGGTCCCTAAGCCCGGCCCCTCCGCCCCGCCCTCCAACCTGTGCCCGCGCGTTCGCCCTCCCGCCGCCACCTGGGCGCCTGCTCCGGGTCCTGGCTCTCCAAGCAGCTGAGACCGCCGGTCCCCGAGACGCGAGCCTAGGTGGAGTCTGCACCCGAGCACCGGGGACCCCAGAAGAGCTCCACGAGGGGCCGCGTGGGGAGGGGCAGAGACCCGGGGCGACAGCCCCCTGAGATGGGGGCCATCGGAGGGCCGCAGGACGGCCTGAGGCACGGCGCCGGCGGGACGGGGCGGGACGCTGGGGTCGGGGCGGCGCGGGTCTGCGGGGAGGGGGCGGGGCGGAGCAGCCCTCCTTGGTGGGGGAGGGGCAGGGGCCCATGTGACCGGTTCAGACCGGTTCTGAAGACAAAAGGGGTCGCTGCGGCCGGAGCGGGACGGGACTGGACGGGCAGGGCAGGCGCAGGAGGACGCAAGCTGCGCAGGCGAGCGAGTGAGCGCGGGGCGCGGAGCGCGGAGCGATGGGGGACGGGACGCGGGGGCCGGGTTTCCCGATCGCGGCACCCGGGGACCCGTACTCGGGGCGCGCCCCGATCCACGGAAGGGGCCTGGGAGGCGGGAGGCGTGGGTGACTACATGGGGAAGAGGTCGGCGAGGAACCCTGACGCCACTCCCCCCAGGATGCAGCATCGAGGCGTCCTCCTCCTCGCCCTGCTCGCCCTGCTGGCGCTGCCCTCCACGGTGGCCAAAAAGAAAGGTGAGAGTTGGGGCCTATGGGGCCCCAGGGACTCCGAGAGGGGAGCCCCAGCACCCGCATCCTGAGCTCTGTCCCCTCCCCGCAGACAAGGGCAAGAAGGTCAGCGCAGGCAGCGAGTGCGCCGAGTGGACCTGGGGCCCCTGCATCCCCAGCAGCAAGGACTGCGGAGCGGGCTTCCGTGAGGGCACCTGCGGGGCGCAGACGCAGCGCATCCGCTGCCGGGTTCCCTGCAACTGGAAGAAAGAGTTCGGAGGTGAGGGAGGCGGGGGGCGTGTGTGGGGGCGCACACACCTGCGCACTCGCTGACTGGGCCCTCTCCCACCAGCCGACTGCAAGTACAAGTTCGATAACTGGGGGGCATGCGATGGGGGCAGCGGCACCAAAGCGCGCCAAGGCACCCTGAAGAAGGCGCGGTACAATGCCCAGTGCCAGGAGACTATCCGCGTGACCAAGTCCTGTGCGCCCAAGACCAAAGCCAAGGCCAAAGGTGGGCGCGGGATGGGGTCGCAGGGGCAGTCACACCCTAGGACAGTGGTGAAACCTGGAGTCCAGTGGCCCGGCCAGCGACGCACCAGTGTCCTGGCCTGGCCTTCGAGAAGCCTTCTGCATAGGTGCACTAAGCCCTGGAACATCCCAGCTCCAGCGAGAGCGCTCTGGGGCCTGTCTCCAGCTGGGGCCACCACAGGGTCCTCTTTTTGGTTCCTAGATGAAAAGGGCTTTGCATCCCTCTCAGCAGCCCAAAGGGGTCAGCAGGGCAGAGGTGGAGGCTGCTCCCCGCTCCTGGGACCGGGAACTTGGAAGTTCTGATTCCTGGTTAATATACACAGTGAAAGTGGAATGGAAAGCCTGGCATTACAACGACTGCCTATCCCACCAGCTTCCGGGTCAGCTGATAGAAATTCAGTAGGGAAATGGTGTGGCAGTGTGTGCCTCTAATCGCAGCACACTGGAAGGCTGAGGCAGGAGCATCTAGTTTGGAGCCCAACCTCAGCAATTTTGTGACTCACCAAGACTTGTCAAACTTTTACAAAAGGCTGAGTGTGTACCTCCATGTGAAGGCCCTGTGTTCAATACCCAGTACCTCACAAACTAAAAAAAATCACGAGGGTACAAGATTTTCTTTGATGTCTGGGGTAGGGGTTTCTACTGAGTCACCATAACCTGGCTAACATTGTTTCTTGTTTTCCAGCCAAAAAAGGGAAGGGGAAGGACTGATCCAGGCTGGTACAGCCAGGACCCACCCAGCAGTGCCTTTGCTACTCCAGCTTCATCAATCACACCCTCCACCACCCCCTCCCACCCCGGAGCCCAGAGTGGGTGGTGAAAGGGATTCTGGAACAACCCCACCCCCACCCAGGGTTTTCCATTCCCAGTCCCCCTTTGTACCCACCATGCTCCTTGTTACTAAGAAATGAATAAAATGAATCAACTTCTTTCCCAATAAAAGCTTTTCTTTCCAATATATAAAAGCCCCTTCCGGGGGAGTAGGCTGTGCAGCTTTGCGGGGAGGGACAGCCGTGGGACCAGGCCCGGTGGGCTTAGGAGGCTTGGGGCTTGGCCAGGGCTCCCTGTGGGAAAGCAGAACACTGATGAAAGACCATCCTTGGGGCTCCCGAAAGGATTCCCACTGGGCTGCGGAAGGGACCTGTGATTCCATGGGGCTCATCGGCCTTGCTGGTCAGAGGCCACCTGGACCAGCCATTGCCAGGCAGGAAGTTCTGCTGAGGCCTGAGTGGGTCCCCAAGTTCTCTCTTCTCCCTTAAACCTGTAGGAATGCAGCTGAGAGCCCTGGCCTGGGCCTCCCTGACCTGACTGCTGCCTCCTGCCAGCGCGAGGGAACAGGAGGGGAAAGAGAGGCCTGGGGCACCTAGCCTGCGCCCACACACACAGCAGCCCCAGCGGCTGCCTGAGCAGCTGTGGCAAAGGGCAGCTCTGCCCGCCCCCCCATGGGGCTTGGGGAAAGGGGCTGAGCCTACATGCGGGGCGCAGGGAGACGGAAAGCACCGATCACACCAGAATGGGGAACCCACACTTCCGTCCTTCTGGGCCTGACCCCTCTGCTGCCCTCCACTTGTCCATCCTTCCTGCTCCGCTGCTTCTTGGCTACCATGGGGCCACTGCGTACCCGGGCTAGTGTCCCCAACCTCCTGAGGCAGGGCGTCAGACATGGGCAGTTCAGACTTCCCTGCGCAGAGCCTCCTGGGCCCCAGCTGGATCTGCTCTCCAAATCCAGCCAGAGCCACTTCCATCCTCAGCGAACGTGAACGTGGAGCCGGGCCTCCATGTCGGGGTCCCCCAGCACCTCCTGGGCCTGCCCGCCTGCCTGCCTACCTGGCCGTGCCAATGTTGCGGTACTGGCACAGTAGCAGGTGCCGGAAGGTCTTTTTAAAGGTAGCGTTGCAGAGCGCGTAGCAGGCAGGGTTGATGGTGCTGTTGACATAGCAGAGCCAGTAGCCGATGGACCACATCGTTTCGGGGATGCAGCTCCGGCAGAAGGTGTTCACCAGGACCATGACGTTGTAGGGCGTCCACGTGAGGATGAAGGCCAGCAGGATGGCAAAGATGGTCCGTGTCACCTTGCGTTCCCGGGCCGCCATCTGCCGCTTCTTGCGCACCTGGTTTCGAGCAATGCTGGCAAACTTTCGGGCAACATTGGCTGCGGGGCGCATGCCGGCTGGTGTGGCAGGCACAATCTCGATGGCTGTCACACACTCATTGCCCGTCTGCTTCGTCACTATCTGGATCTTGGACCATTTGGATGCCGGGTTGAGGGTCCGAGGCTGCAGGGTGGGGGCGGCCACGGCGGGAGTGGTGGTCTCTGTGGTGGACAGCTCCGTGGCTGGACGTTCCTTGGTGTTCTGGGTAGCGCTGCCCGAGCTGGACTCATTGGAGGTGTCCTTGTCTGCCACTGGGCGCGGTGGTGGTGGCAGGGCCGGTGGTGGAGCCTCCTCCAGCTTCCCGTTGCGCAGCTCCTCACGGGCCATGGCACCCGGAGGGGGCTTCTTGATGCTCTGCTTGACCAGCGGGCTCTTGAGGAAGGCCAGGGTCTTGGCCTTCTTCTCCTTGGGGCCTTCGGGCCGGTGCTTGTGGACTCGGCTGCGACTGGCCAGAGAGATGTGGATGTAGAGCACCGTCATGATGACCACAGGCAGGTAAAAGGCCGCAATGGCCGTGCCGAAGGTCACCGCCGGGTTGGACAGGAACTGGATGAAGCACTGATTGTCAGGTACTGTCCTCTTACCCACCACAAACTGCCAGAACAGGATAGCAGGCGCCCAGAGCACAAAAGACAGGACCCAGGCAGCGGCAATCATGAGGCCTGCCATCTTGGTGGTCCGCCGGGCAGGGTAGGTGAGTGGCTTGGTGACGCAGAAGTAGCGGTCAAAGCTGATGATGAGAAGGTTCATGACAGAGGCATTGCTCACCACGTAGTCCAGGGCCAGCCACAGGTCACAGACCACGGCGCCCAGGGGCCAGTAGCCCTTGATGATGTACACGGTGTACAGGTTCATGGAGAAGGCGCCTATGATGAGGTCAGCGCACGCCAGGCTGAACAGGAAATAGTTGTTGACCGTCTGCAGCTGCCTGTTGACCTTAATGGACAGCATCACTAGGATATTGCCCACCACGGTCACCAGGCTCAGCGAGCCAGTCACCGTGGCGATGAACACCATCTCCACGGTCTCGTAGCGGTTGTGGGCCGCAGTGACCAGGCGCATAGACTGGTTGCCGGAGCTGCCGTTGCCTGGTGTGAAGTTCGCCATGTGGGGGCGCTGTGAGCAGGGCGGCCGTGGCTGGAGGAGGAAGGAGAGAGAGGGGTGAAGTGCTGGCTGGGACAGGCCGGTGCAGAGGGAAACCAAGGGCCAACACCCAGCACCACTCATTCGTGCCTTCACTGGGCAGTCACAAGGGGTCGCTGGCCTCGGCCTCGGCAGGCAGAGTTAATAGCACAGGAAACGCAGGGCCCAGCTCAGAGTGTTACCTGATTGGGGAGACACAGAAATGTGTGCACAACAGATACAGCGCTAGAAAGAAAATCAGGAATGCAGCTCAGAGGTAGAGTGCTCACCCAGCATGCTCCAGTCTGCTTTCAACCCACACAGCATGGAAAAGAAAAAAGCAAGGAAGGAAGGAAAGAAAGAAGGAAGGAAGGAAGGAAGGAAGGAAGGAAGGAAGGAAGGAAGGAAGGAAGGAAGAAAGAAAGAAAGAAAGAGAAAAAGAGAGAGAAAAGGCTGGCAGGCCGGCAGGCTGAGGGTAGAATGAATGACTCAGAAGACAGGCCAGGCATGGTCCTTTGCTGTGTGATCAGGGAAAGTGTCCAGACCTGGCGTGGTGGTGCACACCTGTAATCCCAGCACTTGGGAAGCTGAGGCTGAGGATTGCCACAAGTTTGTGTGAGTTACATAGTGAGTTCAAGACCAGCCTGAACTATACAATGAAACCCTGTCTCAAAAACCAAAAGTATCAGGCAAGAAGTGATGCTGGGACAAGCAGGAGGCAGACACAGGAAGTGTCGAAGACAGTGGCTGGGTCAAAGACTATAATGCCAAGAGAAAAGTCCTGGGGACACATGCTCGTGGTCCCAATACTAAGGAGGCTGAGGCAAGAGGCTTGCTGAGAAGCTGAGGGAAACCTGGGCTATATAGAAGACCCTGTCTCGAAAAACAGAAAAAAGGGGCTGGGGATTTAGCTCAGCGGCATAAGTGCCTGCCTTGCAAGCAGGCAGTCGTGAGTTTGATCCCCGGTGCCGATAAAAAGGAAAAAGACAAAAAAAAAAAAAAAAAAAAAGCAAACAAACTAGCAAAACAGCAAAGGCCTGGCCCTTCTCCACAGAGGCTGTGCAGTGGAGCCCAGCAAGGAGGGATACGTGGCCAGAGGGCTCTGGTGCTAGGTACCCATTCATCCACCACCCAGACTCGGGGTACACATATGCATGTGTCTGTAGCACTGGGGACGAAGCTCATGGCAGGTGATTCTCTTGCAATGCTAAGCTCCATCCAGGGCCCCACTTGGCCCTTTCTTAATCGACAGTGCCAAGGGCCTAGATCCCATCAGACACTGGAAACAGGCACTGTATGGAAATATACATTAGCAGTTAACATGTCTTACCTCCTGAGGGCCTGCACCTTCTACACTGCTTAGAGTGTTAACTCATTGCACCCTGCAACACTCCTACGAAGCAGGTAGCTTTTACTACTTACACATGGGGAAACTGAGGTACAGAGGTGTTATTGAACCCCACCAAGGTCCTGTGGCTCTCCGATGTCCTCTTGATGGGGTCTGGGCAAAGCAGTCCTCTGAGGATTCTAGCAGAGGAGGCTATGGGGCCGCAGAGCCTATTCCAAGGGGCAGAGGGGAATCCCCAGGGAGGACGAGGAGGAGTAGGAGAGGGTGAGGAAGAGAAGGCCTCAAAGGGCAGCTTGGCACCCCTGTCCGCCCTAGCCCCAACTCAGGGCACAGAATGGGCCAGCAGGGGACCTTGGGGACTCTCCAAATCCCGGAGCTCAGACCCCTGAGGAATCAGAAGCCTAAAGGCCCATGTCAAGCCCTGAGTGGTGGTGCTCACCTCCAACCCCAGCCACTCGGAAGGAGCGGATTTGAGGTCCCCCAGGCCACACAGTGACGCTCTGTCTCAAAATAAAAAGGGCTGGCGGTGTAGCTCAGGGCTCTAAGGGTTCAACCCCCAGTAAGTAAGTGTAAAAATAAAGGAAGGGCCCCCATGACTTCCCCAGCGTCAAGGCTGGCCCCGAGAATGGCCAGGGAATCCCGAAGATGAAAGGACTGTCCCAGAGAGAGGAGCCACAGGGGGACCTGTGGCCCTCCACAGCCAAGCCCAGGAGGCAGCAGGCGCCCAGGGCCCGGCCCTCCGCCCCTCCCCCGCCGGCCTCCGCCCACCGCGCTCTCTTCCTCCTCTTCCGACTTCCATACATGTGAGCCAGGCCCACGCCCAGCGCCAGTGCCAGGGCAGCGACAGCCCAGCCTCCTTCACACCCGCCAACACACACACCGTCACAGACGCGCGCGGCCCCATCTTGGCCACACGCAGCCGAGGACGCACTTGTGTGCGTCTGTGTGTGTGACTGAGGAAGGCAGCACAGCAGCCAGCATGGAGAAGGCACTAGCAAAAGCTGGCGGCCCGCCCCTCTCCTTCCCCTTTTTGAAGTCTCCCATCCTGTCCTGAGCCGCCCTCCTGAGCAGCTGTCAGACCTGCCCAACTGGATGTCATGGAAATGGCCCTGGAGGCTGCAGCCACAGGCTTCAGTGGCCCCAGACTCCTGCCCACCACTACAGTCGTGGACCCAGCCTCCTGTTCAGATGCATGGGGCACAGAAGGAGAAGCTGAGCAGCCTTCCCCAAGGTTACACTGCACATCAAGGCAAAGGGCAGAGAAGGCCTCTGCCACCCTGCTTAACTGTGAGAGTTCCCGAATTGGAAACTGGAGTGTCACCCTCTGTCAGGTGTGGAGACAAATGCCTGTCATCCCAGCACTTGGGAGGCTGAGGCAGAGAGACTGCCTCATTTGAGGCCAGCCCGGATTATACAGTGAGACCTTGTCTCAACAAAGCAAAGCTTCAAGGGCTGGGGATTTAGCTCAGCGGCATAAGCGCCTGCCTTGCAAGCAGGCAGTTGTGAGTTCCATCCCTGGTACTGATAAAAAGGAAAAAGACAGAAAAAAAAAAAAAAAAAAAAAAGCAAAGCTTCAGCCAGGCGTGGTGGCTCACGCCTGTAATCCCAGCACTCGGGAGGTTGAGGTGGGAGTATCGTTGTGAGTTCAAGACCAGCCTGGGCTACAAAGTGAGCCCAAGGCCAGCCTGAACTGCACAGCGAGACCTCGTCTCAAAAAAAGCAAAACAAAACAAAACAAAACAAAAACAAAAACAAAAAAAAAAAGCAAAGCTTCACCCCTTGAACCAGGAGGGTAGAAGCATGCAGGTGGAGAAACTGCTGCCTGCAAGCCTGTGCTGCAGGAGACAGGGTGGGCCCACAGTGTCAGTCAGCCCGGGCCTCCCAGGGCTAGAATCCTGCAAACAGGGTTCACTGAGGAAGGCGTGGGCCAGGAACCCCTCCCGGGCTTTTGTATGAAAAAGAAAAAATGTGGGGACAACTCAGCCTGCAGATGTTAATATCCTCACACAGAGGAGAAGGCTAAGTAATTCACCCTAAATCACCCAATTTGTAAGTAGGGGTGGGATCAGGATTAGCACCCAGAACTCCAGGGTACTGAGCAGTACTCAGAATAAATGTGCCACCTCTACACTCCGCAAAGGACCCAAGTGGGATCCAGTTAGCTTTCCCAAGACAAGAGTTCTCCTGTCCTCCTGGGTTCAAACTGCTTCCAAACAAGAAAGCAGCAAAATAAGTGGCTGGTGGCAGCTTGGGCCCAACTGGCCTTCCGGTGCCCATTGGGTCCCTGCAGACATTCGGCCCACAGCCCCCTGGGGCGATTTCCTGGAATCCCGGACCGGCTCCTATCCGCAGCGGCAGGCAGCCACGGCCCAGCCTGTGTGCACCGCTAGATGGCAATGTCGGTTCCTGGGTGCCAGCTCCCGACCCAAGCGGGCAGCCCCCGTTCGCCACCGCCCCCAACTCCAGGGCATCCATAAATATAGAGCTCCAGGCACGGGCCCCATCTCCAGGATCAGCCCTAGGCACCAGGAAGCTGCATTCCGCTCTGCGCAGGGTTCCACTGTGAAAAAGTTTAGGGTACCTGGATTGCACCCCACACCCTGTGAGAATCGCGTGGGAGGACGGCGAGTGCGAGTTGTGTTTGTGTGTGATTGCCCGGGAGCCCGAGTAGACGCTAGTAGCTGCCTGCATGTGCGTGTGTGCCACGGCCCTGCCTGGATACCGGTGCGCTGAGAGCGCGTGAGCATGCCGCCCGCGTGGACACGTGTATGTGCACGCCTGTTCGTGCCTGGGCTGCGGTCCTCCGTGTCTGGGGGACACACGCAGTTCGGGTGCTGCAGCTGTGAACCTATGCACACGAGCACACACGAGGTGAAGGCGAGGAACTAGCCACATCTCCGCGCCGGGCGGGAGGCTCGGCCCAGACCTTGGCTCTCTGTGAACGCTTGGGGGTGGCGTGGGGGTGGCGATCCGCGGCCTCGGGGTGCCCAGGTGAGGACGCTTCGGACTCTGGAGGACCCCAGACTTTCGGACTTGACCCCTGACTTGATGGTTTTAGCCGGGCGCCCGGTGTCGTGCGCGCCTTCAGGAGTCAGCGCGGAACACAAGCCCGGACTGACTTCTGTCCGGGGCCTCCGAGACGGTCCTCCAACCTTGAAGGTCACTGGGCTCAGCTCCGTGTGCCCTGAGGGGCCAAGCTAGGAGCCACAGCCCATCGCATAGAGGCGCTGAGGCTCGGGTCCGACGGGTACAAGACTCCTGCCCTCCTCAGCCTCCCGCTCCGGGCTCCGTCCCTGCTCCAGGGCCCTGTCCAGCCCGCGACCCGAATGGGCGCGGGTTGGTTTTCCAGCTCTCGGCTCGGGTGGCCTCGGGGCGCCCAGGGGCTCCTCCGCATCTCCACCAGGTTAGGAGCCCCGTGGCTCCCCGGCGCGCCGCCCTTAGTACCTACGGCCTCTGGGCGTGGGCACCCCGCTTTTGGGGCCTGAGCCCTTGCACTCCCCGAACCTGACCGAGCCACTTGGGGCAGATCCCTGGCTTTGAGGACGCCAGCCAGGAGATCTGGGGAGGGAGCTGTGGCTCTGGATCTGTCCGTGGTGACTCCAGAGTTGTGGGGAGGGAGAGGGGCGCGGGGACTCGGCCCGACCTCGTGCCCGCGCTTCCGCCGGGAGGCCCGGGTGAAGACTCGGATTGGGGCCCCCGGCTCGGCTCGGAGCCCCGGCAGCGCGGGATGGTCCGGGAGGGCAGGAGCAGTGAGGGCACAGTGCCTTCCGTCGGGGCTCAAGGTCGCCGATGAGGACTCGGTGCGCTGGCGGGCTGGCAGCCCCGGGGCGGCCCCGGTAGAAAGGGGGGTGCGGGGAGACGGGCGGGAAAATGCTCTTGGGGCTCTGCGCCCCGCGACCTGCCGAACTTGGGGTGGGGGCTTAAGTGTGGGTCCCGGCCAAAGGGCAACCCCAGGCCACTCGGGATGGACGCTCCTCCGGCCCAGTCCCTATGGGCGTCTTCTCCTAGAAACCACCAGTAAAGCTTCGAGACCCGGCCTCTTCCCGCGGGGTCCCTCGCCACCGGGCCTCTGGGCCCCGGTACCGTGCTCGCCACCAATGGGCCCCCGTCGGACCCAGCTCTGGGGACCCTCAGGGATCCCGGGACCCGCGTCCCCCCCTGCCGAGCCCCCGCCCCCGCGCCCTGCGGAGTCACTCACCCCGCCGCGCCCGCTGCACTCGCTCCGACAGACGGCGACACGGACGCGAGGCCCGCGGGCCGGACCGGGCCAGGGGCGGGACGGGGCCTGTGCGGAGGGGCGGCCCCTGCTCCGCCTGCGGCTCCGGCGCTGTGGCTCCGACTCGCGCTCACGCTCGCACTTTTCCCCGAGCCGCGTGATGTCACGGGGAAGCAGCCAATCGCGGAGGGGCCGCGCCGCCCGCCCCAGCCGGTCACCCGGCGGCGACGCGCGGGGGTCACCACCCCGGGTGTCGGGGACCCCAGCGGCCCGCTTCCCCGCCTAGCGCCGGCCTACAGCTCGCTGCTCGGGCGAGGCAGCGCCCACTGTCGCCGGCGCTGGTTGCGGGGGGCGCTGCCCTCCGGGGGAGCGGGTGTCCGCGTAGTCATGGGGACGCGGCGCCCCCTCGCGGGCTGGGGAGGAAGCAGACGGCAGGGTCCGCTACGCGCCCCGCCTCCGCCCTGACCACGCACCCTGAACCCCAAGTGTTTTTGTGCTTTTGGAAGCTTCACGACCATATGTGGTCCTGCTTGTGGTTTGACTGTGGGCCGCAAGGGTTTGACCCCAACAGGAGGCTACGGGTGTGCGGGGTGCGCTTGGCCCATGGTTCCGTCGGGGCAATCTCAGGGCCGCGCGTTGGCTGCAGCAGCAGACGAGAGGGCTGCGTCTGAGTCTGGGAAAGTGGGGAGTGGGCAGGCGAGGGTCTGCAGGGTGGAGGAGCCGTGGGCATGGACCGTGCCCTCACCCCCGCCGGAAACCCTAGCTCACAAAGGGGCGCGGGCTCCGGGATAGAGCAGCGGGCTCATCACTGGTACGGAGTGGAGCCTAGGTGCCCAAGGTCACCCGAGACGGCCCGCACAAATCCCCGAGGGCAAGCCGCCCGTCTCCCAGGTCTCCCGGTACCATACTCGCAGCTTCAGCGCGCGGGCGCAGGCTGCGCGCGGCCCGAGTGGGAGAGTTCAGCACCTCGGAGAGCTCTGCCCGGCCAGGCGGCCCGCGACAGCCTTGTCCCCAACCGCGGGCTCCGACGCAACGCGCCTGCTCGCCAGCAGCCTGAGACCTGTCAACACCCGGCCCTCAGAGCGCAGACAGCCGATTAACCTCGAAGACTGCCGGTGTCAGGTCTTGGAAAAACAATCAAGTCCCGCCCTCCTCCACCCTCTCGCGAGCGCCGGCGGGGGGCGCGGGGGAGGCGGAGGCGGACGGAGAGAAGAGGCAGAGGTGGCTGCAACCCCTCTGCAGGGGAGGTCGGCGGCAGGCGGGAGCCAGCGCTGCGGCGCTCTTGGTGCGGGGTTCTCCGTGCTGAAGGGGAGTTGGAGGTCAGGTCCCCAGTGCTCCTGGGCGCCACGCCTGTCGGCTTAGGACCTAGAGTTTCAGGGCCCGAGCTGGCTGACCGCACGCTTGGAAGAAGCCATCTTCCCTTACACGGTCTTCCTGAGGGCGAAAGCAGCGCTATTGTTCTTGCCCCACTTGACACAGGAGGAAAGAGGCTCGGCCATCTGTGTGACAATGGTCACATCCGTCCGAGGGCCCAGGAGCAGGCAGCTCTCAGGGGTGTGGGTTGGGGTGGGGGCGGGCAGAACCTCAGCTGCGCCCATGGGCGAGGCCTGTAAGGGCCTAGAAACCAGAACTGCCCGCCTGCTGTCCTGAGCAGTTCCAGTAGCTCGCGCAAAGCCCTAAATTCCCTGGGTACTTTCACCTTGCTGCCCATGGGGGATCCCGGAGCATGGTGTCAGCAGCCAGGAGGCCTGGGTCCTGCTTTTGGTCTTTGGTGATCCATGGGGGCCCACTGTCTACGGCCACAGGGCTTTTCTGAACATTTCCTCAGCTGGGGAGGGGCAGTCTTTGGCCCCTGTGACTCTCTTTGTGCTGGGCAGAGGGTTCTCACACAGTGGGTCAGGGGCTTACAGGTGGGCAATGGGTCCATCCTGCATGGGAGCAGGGGTGGGTTGGGCGGGCCTAGAGTCAGACCACTTCATCCTGGAGGCCTCTGCTTCTTCCCACGGAGCAGCTATGGTGGTGCAGGGTGCACTGGGAACAAAACCCTAGCTGGGCTTGGCCAGGCCTTCCCAGAGGCTGTGCGCTCCGATAACAGCAAGAACTGCTTTGGAGGCTTCTCAGAGGACACGATGTACACCGAGTCCTCAGCACATGGCCTGCACCCAGATGAACCATTGCAGGAGAACCCCAGGGTGGGGGACAGGTGCTCTCTTCGGCCCCACTCCCTCTGCTGCCTGCTTCAGACTACAGTGCTAAGAGCAACTTCAAGTGGTTGCCTGGTGCGAGCCCTGCACACTAGCAAGAGTGTAAGTGAGGCCCAGCAGAGGTGAGTGGAAGGGCCCGAGCTGGCTGATCGCACACTTGGGAGAAGCCATCTTCCCTTACAAGGTCTTCCTGAGGGCAAAAGCAGTGCTGCTATTGTTCTTGCCCCACTTGACACAGGAGGGAAGAGGCTTGGTCATCTGTGTGACAATGGCCACATCCCTCCGAGGGCCCAGCTAGGAATAAGACCTCCTAGAAAACCCACATGTTCTTGGGTAATCAGGGAACTCTCCATACTGTTTTGGAACACTTGTTTGCCCATTAATCTCTTGGCTGGACATTTGCTGGGAGCAGAACTGTAATCCTGCACACCCCACATTTGGGTAGGGTTGAGCACTCATGGGAATTGGCACACACCTGTAATCCAAGCCCTCTGGAGCCTGAGGCAGGAGGATTGCCGTGAGTTTGAGGCCAGCCTGGGATTATAGTTCAAGGCCAACCTGAACTACAGGGTGAAACCCTATCTCAAAATGGGGTGGGGGTGGGGGAGTAATTCATGGAGTTTTAGCTGCTGGCCAGAATCCCAGAGTTGCTCAGGTTTTCCCCTCAGCAGGTACCTCCCCTGGGAGTTGGGCTCCAGGTACATCCCTTTCTCTGGGCCACAGCCCGAGGACAGAGCAGGTCTTTCAGTTGCTGTGTAGAAGGCACAGGGTAAGGGCTGGGCAGCAAGGTTGTGTAGAGAAGCCGAGTGCACACAGGTGGCCAGCCTCACCACGCTTCTCAGGCTGGGCTAGACAGGCCGCCTGTGTGGAGGGCAGCGCCAGCTTAGTGTCCAGGGCAGCCGGCGCCAGGCTTAGTTCTGTGCCCTCCACCCATCCAGCCCACCCTCTCTGGAAATAGACAGAAGCCTGGTGAGGGGCATGGCATCATTTTAATGACGTAGATCTTTGGTGTTTCCCTCATTAGCAGTAGACCATCCCCTCTCCTCCCACCACAATGTGTCTAGGATGAGTGACAAACAGAAAGGAAATCACAATTTCATACTGAAAACAAAAAGATCATAACCTTGATTTCTCCACTAGAAACTACACATACAGGTCAAGATTCCACATGCAACACCTTAAATCACAGACCAAGACCTCACATTCCGAACTGGGCTTAAACCTGCTGCAGCTCGGGCTGGCTGCGGCCTGGCTCAGGGCCACTGACAGCTGCACATGCTGCCTGCAGGGTGCGGAGAGGGCTGGGTGGACAGGCCTGGGGGTGGGCCAGCCTACACCCGACTCCTGAGCGAAGGCCTGCCCACCATCCCAGTGTCCCTGGGGGTATGACGGCGTCACACAGCTGGAGGACTGGGGCTGGAGGTGGACTCAGGGGCCAGGCCTCTCTGGTTCCAGGGCTCTGGGCAGTCTTGCCGCCTGACAGGTAGATAGGGCAGAGCTGCCTACTGGCTTCTGTCCAGGGTGCATGGCCTGGATTGGAAGACGGTTCACTCTTCTGGGGCTCTTGCACAGGCTCAGGTTCCCTGAGCCCACAATCCGAAGAGAGAGGGGACTCACAGCAGAGACACCCACTTGCTCTCCATTCCTGGTGCCCGCGGCATGGCTCAAATGGGCCTCAACTCTGGCAAGCCTCGCCAATCAGCTGCCTGCTGCCCTGTGCCTCTGTTGCCACCCTCTCGCTCCTGCTGCTCCTGACGCAGCTGCCAACTCTGTGCACAGTTCCCAGTCAGCTGTGAGGTCTGGCTCTTGTCAGCGGCGCAAGGGGCAGCAGCGTGCACACCTGTCTCTACCTGTTTCGGGGCTCCCCACTGGGGCTGGCTTCGTCCCCCCTGCTAGCACCCCCACCACTGGCCAAGTAGTTGCAGTGCAGGACTGGTCCCTCAGTGCTAGGGAGGGGAACAGGGGTGGAAGGAGGCAGGGCTGGCTCCGGTGGCCCCTGCCCAGAGGTCCCAGGCTGATCCCAGGAGGCTGTCCGGGGGCTGAGGCTGCGCTCTGCTAGCTGCACGGGTTCCAGGAGCAGTCCCCGAGAGGTGGAGGGCTGCGGTGAGGAGGTGCGGGCAGCCCCCGACTCAGTGCCCGTCTGGGAGCTGCGGTGAATGCGGTGGCTGACGATAATGTTGTTGCCGAAGCCGCCCATGGAGGCCATGGTAGTACTCTGCTCCCGCTGCACGACGGCAGTCATGCCCCCCTCCGCCATCAGCCTCTGGATCCTGCTGAGGGCATCTTCCCCGCTGGCATTGTACTCCGAGCCCTCTCCTGAAAATCAGAGAGGAATTAGCTGTGGGTCTGGGCCTGAGCTGGGGCAGCTGTGAGCAGGAACTGTTAGCAGGGATTCTAGTGAAAACCAGGGGAGCCAGGTGTGGTGGTACATGCCAGTAATCCCAGCACTCGGGAGGCTGAGGCATGAGAACTGCTTAGAGTTCAAGGCTGGCCTGGGCTGCACAGTGAATTCAAGTCTCAGCTTAACTTGTACGATATTCTCTTAATACCAAAACTAAAACCTAACAAAAAAAGATAGAGAAAGCGCCCAAGTCTGCCACCAAGAAAGTCAGCCTTGAAAGCAAACAGTCACAGTTTATACCTGGTGAGAACACAGGCCTAGGGTGGATGAGGTGGCCAGGAGTCTGCAGCTGTCAGGAGGCAGAATGGGACCTGTGAACCCTTTCCGCTCTGGTGGCACACTGGTCAGGAGGCAAGCAGTATTTGCTCATCTGTGGGTGACTCACAGGTGTGGGGCTGATGGCGCTGGAGACCAGTTCTTAGACTACACATTTTTTTTGGGGGGGGGGTCTTTTTGAGCCAGGGTCTCATTATGCAGTTCACGCTGGCCTTGAGCTCACTGGTCTCGAACTTG